CCACTTTTGGGTATATATCCAAGGGATGCTCAATTGTGCCACAAGGACATGTGCTCAACTATGTTCATGGCAGCTTTGTTTGTCATAGCCAGAACCTGGAAACAACCTAAATGCCCCTCGACCAAAGAATGGATAAGAAAAACGTGGTATATTTACACAATGGAGTATTACACAGCAGAAAAAAATAACGACAGCTTGAATTTTGCAGGAAAATGGATGGAGCTAGAAAACATTATTTTGAGTGAGGTAACCCAGACATAGAAAGACAATTATCACATATACTCACTCATAGGTAGTTTTTAAACATAAAGCAAAGAAAGCCAGCCTACAAACCACAATCCCAGAGAGCTTAGACAACAATGCAGACACTAAGAGAGACTTACATAGATCTAATCTACATGGGAAATAGAAAGTAGAAAAAGACAAGATCTCCTGAGTAAACTGGGAGCATGGGGACCCTGGGGGAGGATTGAAGGGGGGAGGGGAAAGGCAGGGAGGGGAGCGGAGAAAAATGCAGAGCTCAATAAATATCAATAAAATAAAATTAAAAAAAAAGAATGGCTAGGCAAGAAATTTTAGTAGCCTTATCAGTACCGCCCCAACTAGTGACAGGTAAGCCAAATAAATAAATAATAAAAGTAAAAATCTTAATATACTCTGGGGTATACAAACTTTGATATTAGAATCTACAGAATGAGCACACTATTGGAAATAAGAACACTAGGGGACATGAACTGAAGAAAAAGTTGAATGAGAAACGTAAAGGCTGGAGACTTAGTAAATGAAAGGGCGTGAGCTCTTGCCGCCTCTGACTCAGGATTCTCGTGCATTTCTGAGGAAGTAGAAGCAACTGTGGTAGAAAAAAAAAAAATCTTCCAAAGAATTCTACCTAATTGCAAGACAAACAAATGGGTCTGCCGAACCACCAAGAGCCTTTTTCTTCTCACCTTCCTGCTTATTACCTAAACAAATAGCCACCTTTATGTGCTCCCTCTGTAAAAGATAAACCTCCACATTCAGGCTGAGTGAGATAATCTGTTGTCTCAAGTACCCCTGAAGGGAAATGACTGTAATTAAACTCTACCCGCTAGTCACAAGCCTAGCCCAAATCAAAGTGTTTCGGCTACTCTGTCCTTCAAGAGCACATTCCACTGCGTTTCTGCTGCAGTCTTCTACACCGGTACCTGTCTTAAGACGTGTGCTTCTTTATCTGCCTGTCTTTAAAGAGAGATAGGCACCTATTTAAAATGAGAATGCTCATTCTGGGTTTTATCTCAAAGATCCTATCCCCCAAATAAGAAAACAAAATGCTATTTTTGTCTTGAAAAACAACTGGGAAAAACTCCAATCATTTAGAAAAATGTAATGCTCTTAAGAATTTAAGGTCCTCAAAAAAGGAATTTAAATTGCTGAAACCAAAGCAGCTACTTCCTATCCAGACACTGCAAGTACTCAATAAAATGTACCCTCAGTCAACAGCCTCCTGTGATCCTTACACACACACACACACACACACACACACACACACACACACACAGAGAGGCTTGTGCGCTTCTGACAACTAATATCTTTTCCGCAACTGTGCAGGCAGGGTCCTCAAACATACTTACCAGCAACACCAAAGCCCCCTCTTCAAACTAGGGTTGGAAATTTTAGGTCAAGAATGTGATTGTGATAGTCCCTGACTGTGCCACAGAGGTTCATAAGGAGGGAGTGGGCTCTGCCTGCCTGGAGCCCTGCTGAAAGTAAAAGGTAGTCACGCTGAGGCAAGATAAACCAGGAAAAAAATCTCATTCCAAGAACGATGTATCGAAGGAAACAAAACATTTGGAAGTGGAGTTTGTAGGACTGTCCTACAATACAACAAGTTTTGTAGAGAAGCTTTGTTTTTAAATTTTCGTAAGATCTAGCAGTAAGTTAAGGTGAAGGAAAACCCAATCAGGCCAGCATAGTCCAAAACGGACGGCTAGCTCTTCAGGGGACAGAGACAGGGAGATCTCTATGAGTCGGGAGCCAGCCAGGGGTATAAAAAGAAACCCTGTCTCAAAAAAAAAAAAAAAAAAAAGGAAGGAGAAAGGGGAAAGGAAAGAGACAGGTGTGAAGACTGAACATGAATTTCTCAGGCTAGCTCCCTTTTTTGGTCTTTTTTTTTAATAATATTAATCTTGGGAGTTGGCACACAAAGAAGCAAGTTTCATCTTGGCATCCTCGTAAATGTCATTACAGTTTGTTCTCATCCATTCCCCCTCCGCCTTACTCACTCCTGAAAGATATGCCATGGGACAGGAAACCGGGAGAGCACAGAGTCTGGGAGGGGCTCGAGGGCGAAACAGGGCTGAGTATATTCAAAACACTGAAAGAAATTTTCGAAAATTAAAGACACTACAATGTCCCACATATTTCTCGCGTATGTGAAGTCTAGGTTAATACATCTATGTACATATATAGACATATTACACATCTGTGACATGAAAGTTGAAGGAAACTATGGTAGGGAGACCATGAGAAGACAATGAGTCGGAAGATAAAATGAAAAAACAGACCATGATAAGCATGCATGAAAACTGTCATAACGAAACCCATTGTTTTATATACTAATTTTAACAATTATTTTTTAAAAAATCTGCTTGACATCTGAAAATGAGCTTGGCATGAACCTCAGTTCCAACTATTACATGTACTTCACTTTCCAATTATTTGGCGTGAGCAAGCTTTCAAACGGCTTCTTCAGGACACCAGAGTTTCTAAAAGAAATCGGGGTTAGTCTACATGTTGTATTCAGTACATTACATTAAAAAAAAAAATGCTGGGCGGTGGTGGTGGTGCAATGCCTTCAATCCCAGCACTTGGGAGGCAGAGGCAGGAGGATCTCTGTTTGAGGCCAGCCTGGTCTACAGAGTGAGTTCCAGAACAGCCAGAGCTACAAAGAGAAGCCCTGTCACAGAGCTGTTACACAAAGAAACCCTGTCTCAGGGAAAAAAGAAAGACATAAAAAAGGAACTGAGAGGCTTCATACACATCTGATTTCCTTATATTTGTTGGCCCCAAGTTTTTTGTTGTTGTTTTTTCTTAATTATTTGAATCCTTCCCTGAAGAACTCACATAGGAGACCATAAATGGTCCAGCTATCACAGCTTAACCCACAAGAGCAGGGAGGTTCTTCAGCCTGCTCTCTTTTCTTGGGGACAGACAGATGGGTTGGCGGGACAGACAAGGTACAGGAAGCCTCATGGGCACAATGTTGCCAAAACCAGTTAGAAATCCTACCAAACAAGCTTAGCTCCCAATATAACTAGTGTGTGGATGTTTCGGTTTGGTTCCTGTTTTAAACATCCTGGATTCCAAAAACTCAGCTGATTTGGGAGATCGTTCACTTCAGGAAACGCGAGTTGACTCACTGCGCTCAGTGCCAGCACCTCAAATCTTGGCTCCAGCTCTCCGGCCTCTCCCTCCTAGAATCCATCCTCCATTGTGTTCTCAATGTTTTAGCTGAAATCTGACTGCCACGTGCCTTAAAATCCATCACTTCCTAGACCAGTGTGCAGGGTGGGTGTGACTCCTTAGCTTGGTGTCTGCCTCCCTCCACTTTCCCTTCCCTAGCTCACTTTCACACATTCACACTTCCCTTGTCTCCTCACTTACCCTTGGGGAGAGAAAATGAATCCTACATTTATAATGGATCCCTCCCCTCTAACTTGACATTTGCTCACCAGTTTAGCTCAGTTCAAAAATCACTTTCTAAAAAAAAAAAAAAAAATCAACATCTCTCATATACCTTAGTACACATGTACACATGGCCACATTTTGGTCCTCCAAAAGCATCGGAGATGATGTTTACTCAGAGTCTGATAAATGTTGTATAAGTGAACAGCCGGTCCACTGCAGCCACAATTGAAGAACATAAGGATATTCTATTCATTTTTACACACATGTGTAATAATAAACATACACACGAACTGAAAATACAGTCTGATTATATTATGTATTATTATATATTATATAGTATTATTATATTATATTATGTTATATTATATTATATTATATACTGACAAACACACGAAGTTAGAGATTACTAAGCATTCAGACCCTTCCCTATCGATAGTGTGAATCATCAGAACCGATCTGGCCCAGCGTCCGAGTCAGATATTTTCAGTATTTTAAACGCAGCAGAAAGCAAACTTAATTTAAAAGAGAAAGCCAAAGAGAAGAAACAATGTAATTAGTCTGGTGAAGGTCAGCGCTCCTGCACTCCAATCTTCACTCATCACCTTTGAAGGCAAGAATTTGGAAAAGCCTTCCGTTGTCCAGCGCATTCCCCGCGCTGGTAGAAATAACTCAGCCATGCAAACAATAATCTAATGCAAAAGATAAAATAAATAACTTATTTCCAGAAAGAAACTAGTGTGTTGATGGTGTGTTTCTACCCCCATGTCATCATCTCCAGTATAAATATCTTACATATTTACGGGAAGTTTCACAATTCAAACGTATTGGTCGACAGGCATTTCTTTCCGATAATCGCCTGGGTTAAACGGAGCAGTGATTCTTTGTCCAGATTTAGAAAGACTAACAACGGGCTCTAGAAATGTAGCTTTTCGTTTATCCTTTTTTCTAAAAAGTATTCTTACTCAACAAAAAACGGCCCAAGGAAAACCCGCCTTCTCCTCCATCAGAATCTCCACGGACCTACTACTGGTGAGTCCGCTAAGACCACGACCGTCAAATCTCAAATTCTGATAGGACTGAAGCTAAAGTTCCAATTCCCAGCCCAGGGCCAGTGACAGCCACTCCACCCGCAAGCGCTAGCCGTAGCCCGGGGAGCGGCGAGCGCACGGCCACGGGGCAACCGGCGGCCGGCTCCGGGTCAGCACTGTCAGGGTCGCCGGGAGCCTGAGCTCCGTCCACCCACCTCGCAGCCCGCACCACCGGCCACTCGGGAGCGCCCAGCCCGGAATGCGCTTGCTCCCGGAACACCGTCCCCCCACCCCCCCGACACCCACCTGGCCGCCCGGCATCGAGGACCGGGCCCAGCAGGCCACACGCCAGCAGCCACCTTAGTCGCAGAGAGGCAGGGGGCAAGAGCGCGCGCGGCCCCATAGCGAGGGCTTCTGCAGGTTCAGCTCAACGCGCGGCCACCGCCTCCGCCCCTTCGGTCATCCTTGCAACCTCGCGGGGGCCCCCAGGGGCTGGCGGGGCGCGCGCCCAAGGCGAGAACGCGCGCGGCACTGACGCAGCCCCCCCCCCTCTCCCGCCCGCTCCGGCACTCCTCCCTCCCCTCTCAACCACGCTCGCTCCGGACGGACGTAAGGAAAATACAGTCTGCGGTGAGACGGTGGCCTGCTCCACGCCGGCGGCTCCCGACCGTGCCTGTCTGTCCCGCCCCTCCCGGAGAGCGTAGGGGAGGCTGGAGGGCGGGGTTAGGAGGAGCCCCGCCCCTCCGTGCAGCGAAGAGCGGAGGGTTGGCTGGAGGGCGGGGTTAGGAGGAGCCCCGCCCCCCGTACAGCGAAGAGCGGAGCGTCGACTAGAAGGCGGGGCGAAGTTTCACGCCTCCCCCCCCCCCTCCTCTGGAGGTCTCTGATTGGCCGCAGCGACGGGGCGGGACGTCGAGCCGCGCACCGGTTGGCTGTGTGTCGGCGAACTCCGCGCCGACGCAGAGGCCTGACAGCGCGGGTCTTGGGTCGGTCGTGGCGGCCTGGCTTTGTTTTTAGGCCAGGTCTCTAGGACCGGCCCGGGAAGATGGTGCTGGGGGGTTGCCCTGTGAGTTACCTACTGCTGTGCGGCCAGGCGGCCTTGCTGCTGGGGAACCTGCTGCTGCTGCACTGTGTCTCTCGGAGCCACTCGTTTAATGCCACGGCCGAAGTGGAGCTCACACCCTCAGGTTCCGCTCACCCGGAGGGTCCCGCAGCCCCGAGCTGGGAATACAGCGACCCCCAGTCTCCGGTCATCCTTTGCTCTTACCTGTAAGCTTACGGGGTCATACGGGCATTCCTAGCGGGGATCGGGCCCGGCTGGGTGGGAAGGCTGCTTCCACCTGGGGGAGGTGATTCCGGGATGCCCTGCCTCTCGACTCCCCTGCCGCGAAAAGCCTGGGAAAGATTGTTGTAGGCTGTAGAACCCTTCCACTCCCTGCACCCTTTCTCCTGCCTTGGTTACAAGATGAGTTCAAGGCCAGCCAGCCAGCAAGCCTGGATAATTTGGCTCAAAATTTAAAAAAGAAGTGTAAAGGGCTGGAGATGCAGCGCAATGGTAAATAGCATCTCTAGCGTGTGTAAGTCCCAGTGCAGGAAGGGGGCAGTGTAGAAGGAAGGAAAATAACTAGGATTATGTGCGTTCGCATAGCAGTTGGTAAAGGGGGCTGACGATGGTCTTAATGATTTGCAGACCCGACGAGTTTGTAGATTGTGATGCCCCAGTGGATCACGTTGGAAATGCAACTGCGTCCCAAGAGCTTGGTTATGGTTGTCTCAAGGTGAGGTTTTTGTTTGTTGTACTTTCGCTCTTCATGGGAAGCATGACTGAGTGCTGTTACAGAAAACCATAGGGGCATACAAAGAGACTTTTTTTTTTTAAGAACTCCATCCGTATAAACTATTGCTGGAGATGTCCAGCGTGTCCAAGATTTAGTGGCTGAATAGCACGTTTGCTTTTGTCGGGATCTAACAATGACTGTGCCCAAGCCGCCCAGATGCAAAACCAAACCTGTATTGGTGCCTTTCGCCACTGAAATGAACAAATTGAAGCTAAAATATCACCTGGCCTTTCAAGGCATGCCTTCCCTTTAAAAGAACGAGGGAAAGGGGCCGTGCACCTTGGAATGGTGATGCTGAACTGGGTTTTCTTGGTTACACACGCACTTGGAACAAGTTGCTGGTGCAGGTGATGACAGGCGGGTACCCCGCCCTTAGGAAGTGGCTGGGGTCTGACAGTAATGTTTTTGTGTGAGGATAAAGCATTCCAGAGAAGACTTTGGTAGCAGTGGCCTCTCAGCCTGGAGAGAAGACAGTGAAAAATGAATGAATGAATGAATGAATGAATGGATGAATGAATGAATGAAATTTATGCCCTGGCCATGCTGAAGTACGCATGGGCAGCCCGTATATACTGGTTCTGTTGAATTTGTCCATAAAAAAGACATCAGTATCCTTAAAGTGGGTGTACCTACTTGCTCTCTCAAAACCCATTGAATTTTGGTTTGGTTTGATTTTAGTTTTGTTGTGGTTTTGGTTTGTCTGTTTTGTTTTGGAGAGACAGTCTCACTCTCTAGCCCAAGCTAGCCCTAAATTCACTGCCTGAGCCTCCTGGTGCTAGGATACAGGTACGCATCACCGTGCTCAGCCCGCACCTAAGAGGTCCGTGTACCCGGCACTACCGACTCAACACTGTTATAATGCAGGGTTCAACCTGGTGTTGACTTATGAGGAAAGCATTGTTTTACTACCTCAGACCCAAGGAAAAACGCTATAAAACCATAACCAAGGGACAAATCCTATTTGAACTGTATATAGAGAAATATTTTAAAGACATTGAAATTTCGCTTTATTGGTAATTGGTAAAAGCCTGACTAAAATTGCAGAGATAACTTAATTTTGATTATTTTAATTAAAAGCTGAATGTATCCTGTCACAAGATTAAAACTCTCCCCCAGCCAGCAGCCCTTAAGGATAGGCAGGACTCAGGAGGCTGAGAAGTGAGCATCCTTGTCTCCAGCCTCACTTTGAGGAACACAGGGGAAGGGTGGGAAAGCAATACTAGGGCACAGGTAAGACTGTGTGACTCTGCTCTCTCCATCGGAGCTGAATTGAGCACAGGGAAATACCCGGGTTCTGACCGCTTGGGCTCAAACTTAAACTTACACTGGTAGGAATAGACTCAGAAACCTATAATCATGCGCAGCCCAAGTGAAGTCCTCAGGTGACAGTCTATATTATTTCTAATACTGTTCATTTACAGTAAATCTACAACAGCTGTCTTGGTATGCATTGACATCTCAATTCCCATTCTAAAAATGCTTCACTGTGTTCCTGTAAATACAAGATAACCAAACCATTGTGTACATCTCTGCAGTAAAGGTTTGCTGTTTGTTTTTATCCTGAAGAAGCCAGGTTTATTTAAAGCAGTATACAGTTTAGACTGGACTAAGTCACTTGAGGTCCTCACTGCACACTTAGACTGGACTAAGTCTCTTGAGGTCCTCACTGCACACTTAGACTGGACTAAGTCTCTTGCCGTCCTCACTGCACACTTAGACTGGACTAAGTCTCTTGAGGTCCTTGCCGAATTCTGTGCTTTTGAGAGTTTTGCTGAGTCGTGCTAGAATTATTAGCAGTACCGAAGCAGCTTTTCCTAGTGAATATGCACGTGTGTTTGTGTTCCTTTCTCCACAGTTTGGGGGTCAGGCCTACAGTGATGTGGAACACACTGCAGTCCAGTGCAGAGCCCTGGATGGAATTGAGTGTGCCGGCCCCCGGACCTTACTACGAGAGAATAAGCCTTGTATAAAGTAAGTTCTACTTTCATTGTTGTACTGCATGTGTGGTGCTGGGATTTGAACCCAGTACACCTTCTAAGCAAGTGTTCCACTAATGAACTACACCCCTAGCTCCAACTGTTACTTTGAAAGGGGGTAATGGAGGTGCCAGCTGATGGGACTTTTTCTTTGAAGTTTTAAAGAATGCCCGTGCTTCCTCCTGTGTGCGGCCCGCTGACTGAGGCAGTGTGATTGCCACAGCTAGGAGCAGAAGTTGTGGGTTCTGAGTCTTCCCGTCTGCCCCCTCATCCCAGGTTGCAGGCCCTGGGCCAGACAGTGTAGCTTCAGAACTCCCAACCGGCATCCAGCCCGTGAAATCTGCTTGAAGACTTCTGGAACAAGGTTTTGCAAAGAAATTCGGAGGTTCCTCAGCTGAAATCACCTGATCCTAAGGAAATGTGGAGTAAATTCTCCCAAGAGATACAGACCCTGCTTCGACTGTTAGCTCATGCAAGAAGCCTTAGTGATGCGTAGTGACATTAGCACCTGCAACCCTGTGTTCTCACTGACACGTAAAGATTGGTCAGATAAAAGGAGCTCAAGGAAAGAGTGCTTCCTTTAGAAAAGAATTCAGGAAGCCAGCAGAGCCACAGGCCCCCAGACCCTCAGCTACCACAGTCTGTGATGCACTAGGCTAGTCCAACTCTGTGTGTGTGTGTTCGTGGGGGTGGTGGCTAGGTTTGCACTTGTTGACTGCAGGGCCTGTGAAGACCAACAGAGGGCATCTGGTCCAGGTGCTTGTGAGCCACCTGATGTCACTGATGGAAGCCAAATCTGGCTCCTCTTAGAGAGAGCAGCAAAAGTGTTCTTAACCACTGAGCCATCTCTCCAGGCCCCTTTCTGTTCTTAAAGTCCCTTCCTATCTTAGCAAGTGCTTTTTTGAGATCCTAGAGCAACTAGAGATAAGGAAGCACTCACAAGAGTCTGTTATACTACAGTTAACTTTTTTTATGTCTCTGGAGAGACTATCCATTACAAGACTGGAAAATTCAGTGTTAGCAAAGGACCTAGCCAGCATATCCTAAATATGCCAACTCATGCCCTGAGCCTTCTAGTGCTTGTCTTACCCAGGAGACTACTTCTTTGCCTTAATCATCCCAGGTCATGTGTCAAGCCAATAGGGCCCACACTGAATGTAACCTAAATTGCTGATCTGTCCTGCCTTGGCTTTCCTGCAAAACCCCCAACAAAGATTGCAACCTGGACCCACACTTTCCTCCTATCCTGACCACCATATTCTCTTTCCCGTGTGGCCCAGTAGGGTGGTAGCCCTGCCTCCTCTCTAGGACCCATGAATGTAATAAACTATCTGTTTGGCTTCCCCCCCCCCAAGGCTTTTTTGTATCTCTCCCTCCCGCCCCCAGTAGCCACACCTTACTGAATGTATCAAGAGAACCGAAGCAGGGTGAGAGGCCCCTGCAGCACAGCCAACAGCTGCTGCGCTTTCTTATGGTCCCGTCGGTTGTCATGAGGCAGACATCTCCTCCCTCCATGCAGGTACACCGGACACTATTTTATAACCACGCTGCTCTACTCCTTCTTCCTGGGATGTTTTGGCGTCGACCGGTTCTGTTTGGGGCACACTGGAACAGCCGTCGGGAAGCTGCTGACCCTGGGAGGACTCGGGATCTGGTGGTTTGTCGACCTGATTTTGCTCATCACTGGAGGCCTGATGCCCAGTGATGGCAGCAACTGGTGTACTGTATACTAAAGCTGCTGCTGTCCCGTGCT